TTTATTTACCTAATATCAACTTAATCAGACCAATACTTGTTATAAAGAAAAACATAAGTATTAGTCATCAATATCTTGCGGCCTCTTTCTACAAAAATATAACAGCAGCTTTGAACAGAGAGCGAACACTGATAAGCGGTCTTAATTATGAAATTATATTACAATTACTAAAAGTGTTGGTATTGTTAAAGGTGCTGTATGTAAGTTTTTGACTCTACTAAAGCATAAAATACCGTAATATGTTTGCAGATATTTAAGAAACATTCTAAGTTAACATACTTGTTTATCTGAAAAACAATGCTACAGTCAGTTATTCTGCTTTGAAAATGTGCGTTCTGTGTCGGAATGTCTGTCTTTGTTTTGGTCTGTGTAACCCGCCTACTGCCAGTTTACCCCATTGTATTTCGGCACCCCGGGTTGCCAGTTGGCGGAAAACACAGCGTATTTCATTTCAGTCATGGAAGGTGCCAAACAAAAGGAGTCAGTTCCTGTTGGTGTTGTCAATCTGGCAACCTGAGTGTGCATCAAGTCTGAGGAGGAGGGGCCGGGTGAAAAAAATCCTCTCTAATATTTTGAATTTGGACTGCAATACCTAGTTCAATCACTAGGTGTCAATCCTACATACAACACCTTTAACTAACACTGAAACATTAAAGACCTTTTAAAATAACCTTGTTTGGTAATTGAAATAAAATATAAATATTAAATGAAATCTTAAACAAAGATTAGTATTGTTGCCTTGTCAACCAACTAAAATACTTTTTTTTTTTTTTTTTAAGTTAAGCCTGAACATTTTCAATAAAACTACAACTGAAATAAAAATAAAGTTAATAGAAATATAAAAAATAAAAAGCACATACAATTACAAAAGCACATAAAAAATTGCTAAAACTGACATTTTAAAATAAAAGCAAATTCAAAACATTAAGTACTATAATAGTATGTAAATAATACTAATATACACTGAACAAAATTATAAACGCAACACTTTTGTTTTAATAATGATATTACTTTAAAGAGTAGTGCAAGATTTCAATTAAAATAAAGTTTAAAAAAAGGTGTAAATCTTTTAAAATGTGTAAACAATGACCATCTCATATGTCTGTAGTGTTTTAGGAGGAGATTGATTTTATCACATGATTAACAAACAGGCGTTAGGAACATGTTCTCACACTAGCATAGTGGTTAATAGTGGAAAGTCTTAAAAGTGGAGGACTGTATGTCTTTTGATTTCACACAAATGTATGCACAGACTCTTCATGGTTTGCTTTGTTTCCTCACAGATCGCGTTTCTCGGGCTGACGACGGCTGAGAGAGCGAACCTGATGCACAGACAGAGAAAACTCCCTCAAGCCTTCTCTCTCAGACAAAACCCATTCAAGTAAGGACGTTTTCATTAGTGTAGGGTTGATAAAGTTCTTATTTTTAATCGTGTTTCTTCTCTCATAGTCTTGGAGTGGTGAGGAACCTGGTGAACTTCTTCCAGTGGCGCTGCTGTGGTCTCTGTAAGCCAATGGTGCTGGACTGGACTCAGCAGTATCCCATGGGTCTCAGCAGAGACCATCCCATGTTCAGCGGCCCCGATGCTGTTTGATCCCCAGCGATCAGTCACCCACTCAGGGAGAGCGACGTCCCCAGTTCTGGAGCCATTGGTTTGATTTTAATGCCTTTTTAATGATGGAAACGAAGAACAGACCGAATGCTAATTTGGATAATCGTTTGTTCTATTTGCAAGAACATCCGCCTTTTGTATTTGAGGGAAATATAGTATATGTGATGTGCGTTCAAGGTTAGATTTTGCCTTACAGCTTAAGTTGTACATAAGGATGAATACATGTTTATAAGCACACTGATATATTTTGAGCAGAAATATTTTGTAAGGTACGGTAAGATCACGCTTTGGTTTTTACTCCAAGTCCTTTTACAGGAAGTGACCACTATATGTATGCTCTTTGTGAAAAGATTTGTAAATCATTTTATACAAAAAAAAAATGCAAATTTAGAGAAATTTTGAGAACCGTACATCCCTTGATGAGTCAAAACACATCTGAAATGACTTCACGCTACGATCAGATGCATTACAACCACAACATTTATAGCATTATACGTGCAAGACGAATCATATCATTTAATATATTTTATTAGCTATTAGTATCATGTTACCTTTAATCAGTAATGTTTTCAAAGGCAGTTGATCTTTTATTTATGTCTTTAATAACCACTGTGTAGTACAGGGCTGTGCCTGATAGCATCAGCTCGCTCTTTACTGCAGTTCTCAATTCTGTTCATTATACTTTATTACGCAGTATGTCATAATAAGGGAAAAATGCTGTTCTTGAATCCTACTCTGTGCTTTGGAATAAATCAGACCACTTTTGTAATTTGCTGGTCAGAGTGTTTCTCCAGGTAAAGGTATATTTGTTGCTGATCTAACAACAACAAAAAATTATTGAGTAACTTACATTACAGCCACTATTAGCTAATAGCTAGTAGTGAATGAGTTTTGGAGATATATATAAATATGTATATAAAAAGTATAAATATATAGTTTGTGAAATAAGTCTCTTACGCTTATTAGTGTTGCAACTTGATCAAAAAATACAGCAAAAACTGAATTATTGTTAAATATTACTTAGATTTATAATAAATGTTTTCTATTTTATTAATTTTGTAATATAATGTATTCATGTGAGGCAAAACTGAATTTTCAGCATCATTACTCTAGTCTTCAGTGTCACATGATACTTCAGAAATCCTTCTGATATGCTGATTTAATGCGTTTATTTTCCTAGTAACTAATCGTCTTTGAATCAATGTTGAATGACACGTCTTTTATCCTTTATTTACTCTTTATTTTTGTTTTTATGCTGTGACATATGATATACAGTTACAGTAGATAGGATTCTATAATTGTAATACATTTGTTTTATGCAGCATAGCATCAATTTAAGATTAAGTTTAACCCTTTAACTGTCACCCGTCCCCTCTGTGGGACGCCTAAGTTTACTTCACTATATTACAATTAAATCCTAATCTAATCATGACAAACTATATATCGTTGGAAAGGTCTATGACTCCTAAATAGATATTTTACCAATGTATTTGTTAAAAATCATGTAGGAAAAGTAATGGATTAATTTTTGACAAAAATCTACATCATAACAGGAGTTCTGACCTTTGTCAAAAAAAGTCTTCTTTGTTGCCTTTTTCTCTATCACGCTTTAGAAATCATCAGAAATTATATATCAGTTGAAAACTTTAAATCTCAAAATTCATCCTTTGAAACCCATTTTAAAATCAAACATTGCATTACCATGAAAATGGTACATCAAAATCATGTTACAAA